GTGCTCTTCCGATCTCCCCAAAACCCCAAAACCCCGCATCAAAGAATAAATTTAGATAGGTAAAAATTGAAGAATAAATTATATCGATGAATAAATTTTTTTCAAAAATTAATTTATCATTATTTTTTCTCACGAATCAGACTTGACAAATATATATTAATAAGAACCTAATGAATTTTCAATACTAGTTTCAATAAGAAGTAGGGAAGAATATACCAAGTCAGCCAATAATGATGTATTACATTCCAGTTGCTCCTCAATATTAATAATATACACTTCCTCTATTTTAAGCTCAGGTATAGTAGAATAATATTTTTGATAGACCTAAATTCCCTGGTACTCACTAATCTAAATCAAATAATATAAGTACAACTATTATCATACCATCACCCATATATCAGTAACCTAAATAACAACTGATTACACGCAATTAATCAGCTATGTCAGGTTTAAATAATTCTACAATGACTAGTTTAAGTAGTTTTGCTGGAAGTGCTTTCACATAATTGAAAAAACCTCATAGCACGATCCTTTTTGAAGGCGCTTGTAATAATTAATATCAGAAGTGGTAGGAGTAGAATCTTCCATAATTAAAAAAATAAGAAAATTCTCTTTCGAGCCAAAATCCTTCTAAATGTATAAACCTCAAAGAAACTTCTGATACTCTTATAAACTTAACAATCTTACATTAAAGGGCATTAGAAAAAGAAAAAATTGAAAAGCTAATAGATAACATCAATAGCTCAGATTAGGAGAAGGGTTAGGATTCAGAAGTTGATATATCATTTGATGATAATAATTTTGAAGAAATTAGTGATATTAAGCCTAGGAAAAATGAAATAATTTTGAGTTCTACTATACAGATAACTGAAGGTCTAACTCCAATAATTAACGAATAAAGAATTGATTAAATCTATTCTCATAATGACAATAAGGAACTGAATGAAATATAAAATAAACAAAGTGGCTAAGATGGAAACGAACTGTAATTATTTAATCAAGAAAAAGATCATGAGATAAATTAAGACATCAGGAAAATGAAGTCAATAGATCAAGTATATATTTTAGAGAACGAATTCAAAAAGAATCCTAACTGGTCTAAAGATAAAATCAAATAGTTGTCCACAATAATGAGGTTAAAAGAAAGTCAAGTATATAAGTGGAACTGGGATCGTCGAAATCTAAGGGAAAAGTACATTGAAGGCCGCTTAAAAAGTATGGAACTCCCAAGTCAAATATTTAAAGTTACTAGAGTGATGTCTCGTGGTTAAAATGAGTAAACTGAAATTGATATCACTTCTAAAGTTGGGTATTTCAAGATACTTAAATAAAGCAATCTAAATCTACATTCAATGGATGAGGAGGAAGGATTTTAGTAATTGTGAAAGTATATTAGTACTCAATCTCATATATATTATATATAGATTGGTTTGAGCATAAAATTAGGAATGAAATCATTTTTATTATAAAAAATCTTGCAAATATCATTTTTAAATTTATAGTGCGTAATTCAAACTTAACGGGGTTTTGGGGTTTTGGGGTTTTGGGGTTTTGGGGTTTTGGGGTTTTG